GATTATTGCTTACGATAATCTTATGGCGATTATTGCTTACGATAATCGCGTAATGATTTTTCGTCACGAAGCGTGCGATAAACTCTCTTCATCTAAATGGGCCTTTAAAGTGTGCCAACAAGGGCTGGAGAGAAGCATGTTACACATCAAGCTGAGAGACAAATTGAGACTCTCCAGAATTAGGAAGGCAACCAAGGTGACAGATGTCACAACGAAAATCGAAAAACTGTAGTGGCGCTGGTGTACGGTAAGATCAATAAAATAAAAGTGGTCAAAAGATGTGACACATTGGTATCCAAGAGATGAAAAGAGGTATAGAGGAAGGCCAACAAGAAGGTAGGAAGACGATCTGCCCCGAGAATGGCGCCGGTCGGCACAAGACCGTTGCTTATGGAGAAATATGGAGGAGGCCTATGTCAGAGGACAACCTGATTGGAACCAGAACCGATGCTGATGTTAGAATTAAGAATTAATACTGTTAGAAGTAAGCATTAGGTTAGACTTAGAATTAATTTAGAAGTAATCAGTGAATAAAGGCCATTTTAATTTTATTTATTTAATTTTTAGCTTCGTTGGGAGCAGTTAACTCTATGGATTGCTCTCTGCAAATAAAAATTTATAAACATTTCAACCCCTCCTATGTAAAGTATCATACGTCGAAATTGACAAGTTTACAAGGGAGCGTTTTATATTTCTGAATTCACTGACATGTGCATAACACTTGATTAGCATTTCTCAGTTTTATTCGGCAAAGCTCGTACTTAGATAGAGTATTATAAAATCCTAGATATCTTAGATAATCTAGTAGATCGGGTACCGGAAAGTGCGCGAAAAAGGATTCATGCCCTAATTTGCCACCGTTTAAGGTGGAATATTTTCTTCAAATTTAAATGGAAGCAATACAATATAACTTAACAAATAGATATAAATGAATGATATAATCTATCACCAACCTTATCAGCTAGCTGTTTATTAACTGCATGTTCAGAAATATGGCTGCCTTCCGTCACTTCAACGGTCACTTTAAAACGGCTTGGCAGAGCACGGAGGAGTTGCACACGGATTGATAGTCCTGCAATCAGAAGTTGCTATGCTAAAATTTGCTTCAAGTGAATAGAAAAATTATAATTTTTTTTATAGGCTACTTCTTGTCGAGTTAATATATATAATAATGTATGGCCCGGTAAGCAACCACCTCTACACCCCTATCTTTTGCCTTTAGAAAGTCTTCACAGGTGCAGCTGGTCGGACACAATAGACATAAGAACAAGTGAGAAATACTTTGTGTGGGGAATCCGCAAGCACAATGGTTTTGCATCGGGTTAATATATCCCCATTTCACCATATTATTTCTACAACGGCCAAATTATGACCTGACTAGATTCTGGGATTTCCATGTTGACCTTTGCCTGAGGACTTTTGATGGAGTAATAAAATTTGGCGATTGGAGTTTGGCATGCCAAAGTTTGCGCCTCATATCAATTGGGTTACCTTTTATAGCAGTGGTATGTCGAAGGAAGCTCTAGGACTTGATAGTCGTACTGGTGGCAGCTTGTGGCTGAATAAAGGGTGCCGAAAGTCAAATTTTTTGGCTGTCAGATGGTAGGAGAGACGGTAGGGGACACTATGGAAACTGGACTTTGTTTTAAATTGTTTTCAGTGTTTGTTTCGGGTAGATTAGATATAAATGAACACTTTTTGTTATATAGTAGTACATATAGTATAACATAAACTGCATGGAAAGTGAATTGTCTATGTGAGGTCATAGTATGAATTTGACAGGCAATCCGACTTACAGGCTTAAATAAGATTGATCTAACAGCTCATAGTAGGTCTCCTGACACCATATCAACCACTTCAAATTATAGGTGTTAATGGTTACGATTGAACAATACAATCTCCTTTATCGCTTTTTTTAAATAGGTACATTTCCTAGTTCAAAACGAGCTTCGCAGCCGAAGGGAGTTCTGTAGTAAATGGAAATTTTTCAGCTTCATTTTCTCGAATACTATCGCCCGCAGAGAAATATTAATAAGAACAAAAAGTGTTTATTTATATCTAACCTATCTGAAACAAACATTAAAAACAATTTAAAACAATTTTTTTTTAAATCTTGAAAATGTTCTGTCCAGTTTCCATTTCGCTGTCCATACGTTTAGGAGATACGAGACCGCAGACAAATACACAGACAAAGCACTCTTTTTTTCGTAGAGGTTTAAAAAAACAACATACCTATCAAAGTGGCCATGCTACAGTGAGGTATCGTAGGCGTGAACGTCACCATTACCGTATTCTCCTTATTATTAACTAATACATTCTTCTCTTCCACCACTCTTAGCTCTTCCAGCGTTAAAGGATGTTCTGGGTCATTTATATTGCGTATTAAATCGAAAATTTCTCTCGAATCAAAATCGTCTGCAACATCGTCGTCGTAGTCTGTAGTAGCTTTTTCTCGTTCTAAACCCTTGTCGTAGATATGTGGGTTCACGTTGTCTGCTGTTTTGGTCATAGTTAAGCCTTATTTTTAAAGATTTTCACTAAAAACTACAAGGGAAACAATCAGCTGTATGTTAATTTTTTTTTTTTTAATTTATTAAGGCTTTGGCAAAGCCATCAGCCTAAACATGAAGTTTAAGTTTCTGTAAACATGGCCGCCACAAAGAGGATAGGCAATTTGAGGCGGCGTGCTTGGATTGACTCGGGATTCCTCAAAACGGGCCGCTACGGGTATTCTAGTTCGAGATTCGTATAATTTCGCGTTTTAATCTGCGATTAAGGCACAATAGCACTATCCTATTCCACTTTAAACTAGATTTCACAAAATAATTGAAAGTCAAAATAAAAATGACACTTTTCCCTCCAAAAGGTCCAGAGCGAATCGCTGTATGTTAATATGATACGTCAAAATCATAATATGATTGTTGTTTTTTTCTATTCTTTCCGTGAAGGAAAAGGCAAAAGTTTGACACCATACAGCCAAGTCTTGATAAAATTTTCTTCTTCTTTAAAATAAAAATAGGCCTTTAACTTGAGTATGATTTCAAACACTGGACATACGACCCTAATGGCAAGGACTTGAGTATGATTTTCAGTGCTTTAAATCATACTCAAGTCCTGACTTGAGCATTGAGTATGTACAGTTCTGGAATACGATCCTGAGACACTCTCAAAACGCGTTTTGAAAGAACCCCATTAAATTTTTTTCCATCCTCTAAGCATTTTATACCAAGCAAGCATACTATTATTTAGACTATTTGATTTGATAGTTGTTCAGTGTCGGGATCACGTCAAGCTCGATTTTTTGACATTAAATAAAACGGGGCGAATCATTCGGGTGCCTGATCGTACGCAACATGCTACATTGCAATACAGATTTTTGAGCCGTAAAGATTTAATGGGCATTCACACTGCGCCCCTTATCTGAATTTCACCATCACCCCTGCCCTTGAAACTTAAAGTTGTCACGCAGTATTAAGAGCACTACTGCTTGGTGGCAGAAACAGAAATAGGCGGCAGCGATAAAAGTTGGACAACCTCTTTCACAAGGCTTTGGATTGGGTTGTTCTATACATTTGAATTTAAATATTAAACTACAAGCTTAACGTGTTGTAGACCCGGTAAAATATTATTTTTATATCAATATTTACATAGAATAACATGTTGACTAACTCGGTTGATATGTTCGCCTGTGAATGGTAGTATGAAATTTATAAAAAGAAACTTCATTTAAAAGTTAAAAAAGTTAAAAGTTTCGGCTTGGATATAAATCCTTTGAGTCATATCTCGTTTAATTATCGGGATCCTCAGTAATATTATCCATTGTGGTTCCAATACACTATGTTTTCACTTTCTCTTAAATAACTTAGTTCATTTATTTGGGTTTTTTAAATAGTCTTAAGCGGCGGGAGTCAGTATTTTTGTTTTCACTTTCACTTAAATTCCATTATCTTCTATCACTTTCAACAAAAACTTTGAATTCGTAATTATTGGAATTTTTAGGATAAAGTCTTCTGTAATTTGGTTTAAAATAAGGAATATAGGTCTAACTTTCTTCGTTACTACTTCTTTCTACGTTTTTTCTTCATAATATACTTAAAATAAAAATAATCTTTGTAAAAGCTCTACTGTACTTTAACTTCAAAAGCCCGCCATTTTTTTTAAATTTGACAGCTGATCTTTCATTAAAAAATAATAATTACATAATATTTATGTTTTTTTTTAACATACAAGTTGTTGAACTAGCCGCCGCCGCCGCCGCCGCTCGCCGGAAGAAAGGTTTTAAAAAAGCAATTTGTGTCCTTTTACAAGATTTAATTAATAAAAGTATTGCACGTTACATAAGTTTACCTTAAAACCAATTAGGATATCACCGAATCAGTACTGTGATTGAGAGTGTTCTTTGAAACATTACATTTATAAATCTATAACACTGCACTTTTGGGAATTTCACTATTGATTTACTGGTTTTTTTGGAATCAGTGTTGGCACGTGGCGTCATTGTAAAGAGTTAGCACTAACATAGATAGGTAATATACTTTTCAACGTAATAAAGGGCGTAATATTTTTCTGCCTCATTTTTATTTCTATCTTTAATTTTTGACACATATGAAATATTAAAAACAACTTATTTAAGTATTTTCTAAATCCATGATTTTTTTCTCAGACAAATTAAGCATCAGTTTCTGGATAAAAACACTCTGTCGCAGTCGGTACCAATTCTCAAAATCTCAGCTGGTTTCAATTTCTGAACAAACATAAAACTGTCACGTTTGACAAATTAATTCCGATCAATAATTTCCTGGAGTTTGTCTTCGCAGTTTTATCAATTTAATTCAAAAAGGGGCGTTATTACCAATAATCTGTAACAAAGCATGTAAGTACATAAATGCATAACACAACATTTCAGTTATTTTCACTAGAAATTTTGTTAAACGGCTTCAAATTGTATTACTATTTTGGGTGTGATGTTGAATACTTTTACCAATAAAAGTAATTAAATTATAGAATGTTATTATTATTATTATTATTATTACTGATTCTCTGAATTTAATATTTTTGATTATGATTTAATCTCGGAAGCATTAGGTATTTGTACTTTCGATAAAAAGCGAGCGATTTATCGTACGTATTTATTATTTGGTGACTATTTTTTTGCCGACTACAAGTACTTAATATCAAGCAAGTAAACGAGTTGTCATTTGTTTCTATACATTTAAATACACTTAAATTTAACTTTGTAACAAATTTTCGAAAAGGCTGTGTTGTTGTTTTTTCCATTCTTTCCGTAAAGGAAAAGGCAAAG